AGACATTTACAGTTGATTGTGAGAGATGGTGTTCCACCCCTTTTCTTCACTCTGTATTCTATGTTTAATCTGTGTGAGTGATCTAGTTTTTGTCTTTGCCATTATCTGGTGTTATCACTATTTTTTAAAAGATGTTTTAATTCTGGTAAAATATTCATACAAATTTCCTTTTATTTTTTTTTTTTTATTTTTGTGGTGCTATGGATAGAATCCAGGGTCCTCACACACACTAAAAGCAAGTGGTCCACCACATCCCCATTCCCAAATTTGCCCTTAAAGTGTACATTTCTAAGGCATTAAGTAGAATCATAATAATATATGACCACTACTGTTTGTTTCTAGAAGTTCTTCATCTTTTTATCATCCTAAACACAAACTGTACACCTAAAGTAATACATTACTTCTTTTGCTCATCTTCTGGTACCCTCTAGCCTACTGTCTATAGATTGCCTATTTTAGTTATCTCATGTAAGTGAAATCATAAGTTTGTCTTTTTGTGCCTGACATTTTATTTTATATAGTGTCTTTAAGGTTTATCCACATTGTAACATGTGCCAATTTCTTTTTATTTCCTTTTTTCTACTTTTTAAGGCTGAAAACACTATTGAATGTATATTCTGTATTTTATTTATCCATTTGTTGATGGTCATTTTTTTTCCCTTTCAGCTACTGTGAACAATGCTGCTGTGAACATTGTATGATATATATCAGTTTGAGTCCTGCTCAGTTCTTTTGCCTGTATGCATAAGGGTGGTACTTTAGCTAAATCATGTAATAATTCTATGATTAACTTTTTGAGGAATTGTCAGACTTCTCCACAGTGGCAGTATTGTTCCCATCAGCAGTGCACAAAGGTTCTGTTCATATCCTCACCAACACTTGTTATTTTCCTTTTTAATATTTAAAAAAATAGTTCCTCAATGAATGTGAGGTAGTGTCTCATTGTGGTTTTGGCTTTATTTTCCTGAAGGTTAATGATGTTCAGCATCTTTTCACGTACTTACTGGCCACTTATATACTTTGAAGGAATGTCCTTTGCATATTTTTGAGTCTGCTTGTTTTTTTGTGGGTGGATTGTGGGAGGATTTTTTATATATCCCTTTATATTTATGCTTTGCAGTACTTTCACTCTAAGTTGTCTTTACCCTTTGTTGATGGTTCCCTTTAAGCATAATTCTTAACATTTTGAATGAAGTCCAGAATACCTATTTTTCTTTTGTTGCTTGTGCTTTTGGTGTCATATCCAAGAAATCATTGTCAAATCCAGTGTGAACATTTTCCTGTTTTCTTGTAAGAGTTTCATAGTTATAGCTATTATGTTTATATTTTTGGTCCATTTTGAGTTAATTTTTATATATGAAATATAACAAAAGAGCCCACCTTCACTATTTTTCATATGTATATCCATTTTTTCCCATCATCATTTTGTTAAAAAGATGTTCCTTCTCCACTGCATGATGTTGACATCCTTGTTGTAAATTATTTGAAAATCATGTGAAGGTTTATTTCTGGGATTTTTGTTCTATTTCATTGTTCAGTGTATCTACTTTTATACTTTTTCCACACTGTTTTGATGTCTGTAGCTTTATAGTAAGTTTACATTCAGACATTGACGATAACCATAAAGATGAATAAATATGGTGACTGTTTTTTAAAAAACTGAAGTGTAAGCTCTGAGAACAAAGAGTTTTATATTTTGTTTATATCATCCCTAATGTCTAGACCAGTCTCTATCATATAATACTTACTAAATAGAAATTGCTCAGTAAATGGATCTTCCCATTTGTCATATGGGATAATTATATTTAAAATTCATATGGGATATTATATGATGGAATCCTCCTATCAGCTTAGAATCTGATGGACAGGACAAGACTAGACATGAAAATAATAGGAACAAGATTTGATAGGTTAGCAAGTTTTTTTTTTTTTCTTTCTTAAAAAAACCCTTTCTTAGTTCTAAATATTGTCATCTCGGTGTGAGTATTCTGATAGCATGGGATTTGGGGGATGCACATCTAAACTTCAGCAACTACTACTTCAAACTGGCCCACAGACTCACTTCTTAACTGGGTATGTCAAGATCTTATTCCTAGTATTTTCCACATGAGTTAACTTACGTTGTCTGCAAGTGCAAAGTTCATCGCTTGAAATCCTCATAGCACAATTTTTTTAAATGTTATTATTACTAAATTTAAAAGTGGAATTCTAGGCTATTGGAGATAGACAGACTTAGGAGTTTTAGAATACTTATAAATTTAAGAATTGTTTAGGAATAATGTGAGAATTCTGAGAAAGAATTCTCAGCTTGAACCTTATCAGATCTTGGGCCCAGTTGTTACAGTTAATCCCTTGCCTTGAAGCAGTTCTCTATTCTTGAATCTTCTTGGGACTTATTCTTTCCTAGGATTGGCACAAAAAGCTGCCTGTGAAACTTAGCTGGTATAGAAGGACAGGAGAGAAATTACGCCAAGCCTCCAATATGAAATGCAGAACATTCACTTTTGTTCCAGTTTTTATATAGCACCTTCCTTTTCCTCAGTGTAGAGGAATAAAAGAGATGATTATCTCCACTATTTGAGGCTATTACTTTAGTTTCTTTTAGGTTGTGTCACAGTAGAGTGAGGAGTTGAAGCTTCAAACCTCAGTTTCTTGTATCTGATGAAAGAGAATGTAAAGTCAGACATGAAAAGCCAAGCAAGAAAAATTTTGTTGTAAGTGAAAGTGATACTCAAAGTATGATTTGGGGAGGGGGGCAAGGCATAGAGAGGGGTCTGAGCAGAGAATTACAAAGAAAACAATATTACTTCCAAATTTTTTATTGTTTGATGTTTACCAGGAGAACTAGGACCCACCTTCTGTACTCATTACCAATTACTTGTTTCACTCCTCCTTTTTGTTGGGAAGGGGAGGTTTTGACCCTAGTTGATCTTCTCCAGAACTATCAAGGAGACCATCACACACAGGGGCTTCATCTTCAAGTCATTTAATGTTAATATGAGTGTTGGGAGTCAACTTCATCTTAAAATGCTTTACTAAAGAAATTTCCCTTCTGAAATACATTGAGAAACCTGTAACTAATAGTACAAAGATCCCAGTAGACTCTGTCAGGATTTAGCACCATTGATCTTTCCTTCTGGACATTTTTCTTGATTGGTTCCCTTTGTTTTCACCCAGGTTAGTATACCTGTTGTATTTCTACAAGTTACTTGATTGTTCACTAAAGTCAATTCAAAGAAACCCTGGGACCCTGCTGCAATGTTGTTGGCTCGTGTCCCATTGCTTAGAACTGTTATCTAACAGTTTTAAGAAACAAATTGGTTTAGTTTTCCTTAGATATTTATTGTGGAGATATATATCTGATGGCCTTCCATGAAAATTGATACTGTGCTGACTCTAGCTATTGTAGTGCCTACTTATCCTCTTGTCCACCAGACGTTGCCATTTCTAATATTTCTACCATTTTGATGAATCTACTTACCTCTCCTAGTAATCTGCGTCTACTCTATTTCTCTTCTGGCCATGGCTCTCCAATTTATTTTGTCCTCTTGGCTTGTTACTTATTAGAGAAAGGATATAACTGGGCTATGCAGTTGCTATCTAGTTGGGCAGTGCTCTTATGAGTCACCTCTTAGGCCTCTGTGACAGTCTTTGGGTTGGATGCTTATCCCTGGTCAAAGTTACTTGAAATCAGAATTTTGGTGTCATCTAAATCATAGTGATCATACTGAAAGAACTGTTGTCACTTTCCTTATAAGGAGCCTTGTCAGATACTTAGGGCATTTATATTATTCACCCATTAATAGGCTCCTGGGAGCTTTCAGACTAAAGGGGAAGTAGAAAGTGCTGCACATGTATTGGGTATATTTTTGATCTTCAGAAGGAGTTATCCAAAACAAAATATCTTTAGTTGCCCTGGCCATATAGCCCTTTGTAGAAGTAGTGCTTTAGAAACTAGTAGCAACTCAGGTATATTATACTTCTGTTTTCCATTTCTTTGCTTAAATGAGAAAGAAAGGATCAAAATGTATAACTGGACATGAATGCATGTAGCTGGACCATTAAATAAAATATAGAAAGGAAAAAATGGATTGTTGTGGCCAGCAGCCTACTAATGTACAGGGAATTGGAAGGCAGCTCAGAGTAGCAAGTCTCTATTCACATTTTCTTTCCAGCATAGTTACGAACATAACCAGAGGTCTCAGTAAGAGTTTTCTCTAGTAAGACCTTTTTTGGGGTTGCCACATTTCTTAGAGGCCAAATAGCTGAAGGATGATATTTTTTTTAGGTGTTGATATGCCTACTTGATCATCTCTCTAAAGTTAGTTGAGAAAATTTGAAACCAGGCAAGTAGCGTATCTTGATTTCATTACTAGTATAAACAGCTTCATGAAATCACAGTACTGTTATCTTTTTCATTTCCACAAAGACTGATGCAAACTTATTCATGGACTGGAAACACTAGATTAGATGAAAATACTGTGATGTGGACTCTGAGCTGGTTGAGAACTCTCTCTAGGGTGGTGATGATTAACCCTCTTTAGGGTTGATGTCATCCTGAAGGGGTGGGTTAATCCAGACCAAGAGTTTGGACTGTGTGATGTAGCACCAACAGCACTTTTGCTGGCCTTGAAGCCTAGAGGAAAGGGGAGAGGCTGGGAGGAGTGGCAAGAGAAGGCCCCTACAGATCTGATGAAGATTGAGACTCTAAGTAAGAAGGAAATGATTAGAGAAAGGTTTAGAGCTTTTTGAGGGCTTTTTACTGGGACTAAGAAGGAGAGTGCATTTGTAGAACTCATTTCTTGGTTCCTTTCGGAGAAGTTCAGGCTGAAAGGAAAGTAGTCAACTTGCTAAGAGACTTTGTTTTGAAATATATTTTCCATCCCTTATGGTTAGGGACTGTAGCTTACATAGAAGGTTAAATCCTGATCTCAGTCCAAGGGTTTTTCTGAAGTTTAGAGATGCCCTGTTTCTGATTTGATTTTTCTTTTTCCTTTCAGGCTTCCTGATAGGGGCTGTGAATCTCAAATCCAGCAACCGAAACCCAGTAGTGCAGGAATTTGAAAGTAAGTACACAGAGACACTCTGAGGAGAATGGGTACCCTCTAGTGGACACTTGGTAGTCTTGCAGTCAACTTCGGGACACATCTATATTGCGCAGGGCAGCTACTTAGTGTGCCTGTGGAGAGAAAGCAGCACATTAGCAGGCCTGCAGTACATGCTGTGCAGGTTTTACATTGGATAACATTCCTTTCTTGCCTGCTCTGTGCTCACTCAACAAAGAAGCTTCTTATATAAATCAGGGTTAGGGAAGGTGTACTCTCTAAGATCCTTACTAATGTCTTAGTTGTTTTTCTGGCAAAATCTTATCTTTTTGCAAAGTCTTTTGGGACTTTGAAGGTATTGGCTGGGTTTATAATCTGTATAAAAGGGCTTTTAAACTAGAGATGGCTTACAGGGTCTGGTTATACTTGTGATCTCAGAAGTGTTCCACATTCACTGAGTGTTCATTTTTTTTCCCTGTGTTTATTAGGTGTAGAATTGTCTTGTATCATTACGGATTCACAGACAAATGACCCTAGGATTGAATGGAAGAAAATCCAAGATGACCAAACCACATACGTGTTTTTTGACAACAAAATTCAAGGTATGGTCTTAAAGTACTTTTGCCTGTTGACCTCTCCTTTGTCCACAGGCCTGGGCATGCACTTATGGCCAGCAGGATTGATAACCTGCATGTGTAGCCAGGACTGTTTTCATTTTTAAAATTTATTATGGAAAATTTCAAACATGCCAAAGTATTGAGAATAGTGTACAAACCTCCCTGCATCTGCCACTCAGCTTTAACAAATATCAATTCATTAGTTAGGACTTTATGCACAACACATCTTTTTGAGGAATCACAGTGAAAGTTTTCTCTCCTCTGCTGTCTTCTTGTCATGACCTGTGACAGGAGTGATATAAGGAGTGTATCGGACTCAGGTGTTTGTGGAGCTACCCATCATGTCCCAGGCTTGGTGCTAGGGCAGAGACAGCACTGGGCAAGCACAGGGTGTCATGGTATGACACAATGTGGGAGGAGCATGGTGGTCAAGGAGGTGGCACCTGGGCAGTGTGGGTTGGGGAGAGTGGGCAATTAACCAGGCAAGGGGAAGTATAAACAAATCAGGGCAGGAAAGAATGCTTCTATGTGAAGACATAGAAGCAGAGAGCTTGACTGATAGGAGTACAGTTTTCTACCACAGCTGGGGCTTGGGCAGGGAGAGGAGGAGGAGATGAGGAGATGAGGCCAGTACACTGATTGCCATGTTAGCCCACCAGAAATTCTGAGGGGAAGTTCAGTGGTCATATTTATGCTTTAGAAGATTGAAATTTTGCAAGGAAGAGGTTGGGGATAAGGAAAACTTGGAACAGAGTGCAAGTGTCATGTCAAAATTATAGTACCTGGAGGAAGCTAATGGTGGCCTGAACTGAAGCTAATGGTATCTGTAGTAGAGATTCAAGAGAGGAACCACTAGGACATCGCTGTGGGAGTTTGGCAGAAGGCCAGGGAGCAGCGCCATGGAGTAGAAGGACATCACCTTTTTTTTCTGACAGAGAAGGAATTATCAGAAGGTCAGTACAGGTAGAGTCAGATTTTTCAGAGAAGCTGAGGGTTGAGAAAGATTTGTGGAAATAAACTGTGGTCATTTTGGTTTGTGTTCTAAATATCATCAGAAGTCGTAGGCTCTTAAAAATAGTATTGTTTTGCTCACTCACATGGGACTTTCCCTCACCCCCCTATATTTAAAGAGAATGGAATATTACTCTGGGGGTAGGGAGCTGTTTTCTTTGGCACTTAAGCTGCCCTGCTGAACTGTACATACAATTTAGATCATCAGAGAAACCAAGTGAGAAGCTCTTTAAAGGATTTTCTCTTCTGGGAATTAAACATCTTACTTTTAGCCCTAGGGATGGGGAATGCAAAGAAGAGAATTCACCAAGCAGGACACGAGGGCTAGAGRAAGACTTGAGTCTACTTTGTCTCTTCTTGTGTCTTGAGGCAGGACAGTGTCAAAACCACTCTGCTGCGTCTCACCCTTTGATAGTGAACAGTTCGGTGGTTTGCTAGTATATTCACATAGTTATGCAGCCATCATCCCTATCAAATTCCAGAATATCTTCATCATCCCTGAAAGAAATCTCATCACTATAGCAGTCAGCCCCCAACTCCATCTCCCAGCAAAGCCCTTCGTCAGCTTTCTGTCTCATATCAATGTAATCTTACCTTATGTCTGGCTTCTTTCATTTAGTGTATTTCCATGATTCACTCATAGTATAGCATATGTTAGTACCACATTCCTTTTTATGGCTGAATCATTCCATTGTAAGTTTACCACATTATTTTATCCATTAATCAGTTGATGTACTTTTGAGTATTACCAGTAATACTGTTATGCACATTCAAATGCAGGTTTTTGATTTCTGAGGTTTTCATTTCTGAGGGATGAATGACAAGTACAATCATAGGGTCATATGGCAGTTGGATGTTTAATAATTTTTAGAAACTGACAAATTGTTTTTCAAAGCCTCTTTATCATTTGAAATTCCCATCAGTAATGTGCTTCCCATATCTTTACCAACACTTGTTATTATCTGCTTGTTTGTTCCTAGAAGTCTTAGAGGGTATGAAGTGCCTTGTGGTTGTGATCTCCGTTTTCTTGATGATAAATTAATCTTTCCATGTGCCATTTGTATATTCTCTTTGGAGAAATGTCTATTCATAACTCATGTTCATTTTTAATTTGGTTATTTGTCTATTTGTTGTTGAGTTGCAAATTGTGTGATACTGGTCCTTTGTGAGATACATGATTTGCAGGTAACTCTTTTCTGTTGTGTGGATTATCTTTTCACCTGTTTGTGTCCTTTGAAACATAAATTTTTAACTTTAATGAAGTCCAGAATAACCGTTTTTAACTTTTGTGATTTCAAGTTATGCAAGCCCAGAATCACTGACTGAACCATATCCCCAGCCCTCTTTTTTTTTTTTTTTTTTAAAGGCAGGGTCTCCTGAATTGCTAAGGCTGGCCTCAAACTTGTGATCCTCTTGCCTTAGCTTCCTGAGTGATGGGATTAGAAGTGTGTGACACTGCACCCGCTAGTATAACTTTTTTTTTTTTTTTAATGTGCTTGTGTTTTTAATGTCATGCTGAAGAGGAAAATATACCTTATAGCTTTGGTCTTTGTAAGAGTGTTACTTATTACTGGTCTCTTTAAGATTGTTGTTTAAATCCTTGTTTAAATTGTAATATTTCTGTGCTAGGTTTGAAGCTCTTAAGAGTGTAAGCTTGCAATTATCTTGACAAACTGCTGCCTGAGATAAAAAGCCACTTTCCTATATTACTTGCAGATGTCTTCTGCTTTTGTTCTGCTTTGATAAACTGCTTATTGCAAGAATTCCAAGTTATGGTCTTGGTCACATGGGCCAAAAGTTCAAACCTACCATTGTTGTATTGGTTAAGAAATGATGTAAAATTTCCTATAAAATCCCTGTGTACCCTCACCGTGGGTCCCAGAATTTCAGAGCACTAGCTCATCTAGGTCTGCCAATGAAAATAAACTTGAGTTCTCCAACTCTCTGAGTGATGGTTGGTCTTTTGTTGAATTCTATTTCTACAACAATGTCTAAGAAACCATTGCTAAATCCAAGATCATGAAGATTTATGCCTTCTTTTTCTTCCCTAAGAGCTTTAAAGTATTAACTCTAATGTTAGATCTTTCTTGTAAGTGAGGTTGAGGTTCAGCTTCTTTCTTTTCCATGTGGATATCCAGCTACCACAGCATCATTTGGGTAAAGTCATTGTTTTTTTGTTTTTTGTTTTAATCTTTTATTGATTTTATTTTTTTAAATACACGACAGCAGTGGAATGCATTATAATTCTTATTACACATATAGACCACAACTTTTCATATCTCTGTTTGTATATGAAGTATGTTGACACCCAATTTAAGTCTTCATACATGTACTTTGTATAATGATGTCCATCACATTCCACCATCTTTGCTAATCCCCTGCCCGCTCCCTTTCCCTCCCACTCCTTTTCTCTATCTAGAATTCATCTAATTCTCCCATGYTCTCCCTCCCTACCCTACTATGAGTCAATCTCTTTATATCAGAGAAAACGTTGGGCTTTTTTTTTTTGATTGGCTAACTTCACTTAGTATTATCTTCTCCAATGACATCCATTTACCTGCAAATGCCATGATTTTGTTCTTTTTAAATGCTGAATAAAATTCCATTGTGTATATATGCCACATTTTTTTTAAAGAGAGAGTGAGAGAGGAGAGAGAGAGAGAGAGAGAGAGAGAATTTTTTTTAATATTTATTTTTTAGTTCTCGGCGGACACAACATCTTTGTTAGTATGTGGTGCTGAGGATCGAACCCGGGCCACACGCATACCAGGCGAGCGCGCTACCGCTTGAGCCACATCCCCAGCCCTATGCCACATTTTTTAATCCATTCATCCACTGAAGGACATCTGGGTTGGCTGTACAGTTTAGCTATTGTGAATTGTGCTGCCATAAACATTGATGTGGCTGTGTCCCTGTAGTATGCTGTTTTTAAGTATAGTCCAAGGAGAAGAATAGCTGGGTCAAATGGTGGTTCCATTTCCAGATTTCCAAGGAATCCCCATACTGCTTTCCAAATTGGTTGCACCAATTTGCAGTCCCACCAGCAATGTGTTGTTCCTTTCTCCCCACATTCTCACCATCACTTGTTGTTTGTCTTCATAATAGCTGCCATTCTGACTGGAGTGAGATGATATATTAGAGTAGTCTTGATTTGCATTTTTGTGATTGCTAGAGAAGATGAGCATTTTTTCACGTATTTGTTGATTGATTGTATATCCTCTTCTGAGAAGTGTCTGTTCAGGTCACTGTTTTTTCAGTGTTTAGCTTTTTGATTTCTTTATATACCCTAGATATTAGTGCTCTATCTGATGTGTGAGGGGTAAAAATTTGCTCCCAGGATGTAGGCTCCCTATTCACCTCACAGATTGTTTCTTCTGCCAAGAAGAAACTTTTTAGTTTGATTCCATTCCATTTATTGATTCTTGGTTTTAATTCTTGTGCTATGGGAGTCTTATTAAGGAAGTTAGGGCCTAATCCTGCCTGATGAAGATTAGGGCCTACTTTTTTTTTTTTCTATTAGACGCAGAGTCTCTGGTTTAATTCCTAGGTCCTTGATCCACTTTGAGTTGAGTTTTGTGCATGGTGAGAGATACGATTTAATTTCATTTTGTTGCATATGGATTTCTAGTTTTCCCAGCATCATGTGTTGAAGATGCTATCTTTTCTCCAGTGCATGTTTTTGGCACCTTTGTCTAATATAAGATAATTGTAATTTTGTGGGTTAGTCTCATCCCTCTATTTTGTACCATTGGTCTACCAGCCTATTTTGGTGCCAATACCATGCTGTTTTTGTTACTATTGTTCTGTAGTATAGTTTAAGGTCTGGTATAGTGATATCACCTGGTTCACTCTTCCTGTTTAGGATTGCTTTAGCTATTCTGGGTCTCTTTATTTTTCCACATGAATTTCATGATTGCTTTTTCTATTTCTATGAGGAATGCCATTGGGATTTTTATTGGAATTGCATTAAATCTGTATTGTGCTTTTGGTAGTATGGTCATTTTGATAATATTAATTCAGCCTATCCAAGAACAAGGTAGATTTTTCCATCTTCTAAAGTCTTCTTTTATTTCTCTCTTTAGGGTTCTGTAGTTTTCATTGTATGGATCTTTCACCTCTTTTGTTAAGTTGATTCCCAAGTATCTTATTTTTTTTTTTTTTTTTGAGGATATTGTAAACGGGTTAGTTTTCCTCATTTCCTTCTCAGAGGATTTGTCCCTGATATACAGAAATGCCTTTGATTTATGAGTGTTGATTTTATATCCTGCTACTTTGCTGAATCTTTAAATCTGAAGCTTAATTTTGCTGGATACGAGATTCTTGGTTGGCACCCATTATCTTTCAGAACTTGAAATATGTTATTCCAGGATCTTCTAGCTTTCAGGGTCTATATGTAATCTGATTCCTTTCTCTGTGGCTTTTAAAATTCCCTCCTTGTTCTGTATGCTGGGCATTTTCATTATAATGGGTCTTGGTGTGGATCTGTTGTGATTTTGCACATTTGGCGTCCTGTAGGTTTCTTAGATTTGGATTTCCGTTTCATTCTTCATGTCTGGGAAAGTTTTCTGATATTATTTCATTGAACAGATTGCTTATTCCTTTGGTTTGGACCTCCATGCCTTCCTCTATCCCAGTAACTCTTAAATTTGGTCATTTTATGCTATCCTGTATTTTTTGGATGTTCTGCTCATGGTTTCTTACAATTTTTGCTGCTGTCTACATTGTTTTCAAGATGATATATTTTATATTCATTGTCTGCTGTCCTGTCTTCTAAGTGATCTACTTTTTTGGTGATGCACTTGTTTGAGTTTTTAATTTGGTTTATTATTTCTTTCATTTCAAGGATTTCTGTTTGTTTTTTTTTTTGTATAACCTCTATCTCCAGCTGTTGAGGTGATCTTTTGCTTCTTGGATTTGTTAATGTAGCTCATTGTCAAAGTGATCTTTCACTGCCTGTATTTGTTCTGTAATGTCTTCTTTGAGATCCCAAAACATTTTAATCATGCATATCCTGAAATCTTTCTCTATAATTTTTTTTCTGCTGTAGCTGTCAATTCTTTTAATGATGTGTTGTCTTGAATTGTTTGTGGTACTTTCTGAAAGGAAAGTGACCACAACACTCTGAGCAACCAAAAGATCTTTATTGCAGCAGTGGACCATATTGTCTCCAAGACACCCTCCCTTATCACTAAAACTAGGTAATAACCTCACCCACCCTGGTGGCCAAAAATTCAGGATTCTCAAAAACTTGATGGGGGCTATTCAAAGGATAATGAACCCATTACAAGATCAGGAAATGTAAACAAAAATGAGGGGGCTCAGTTTCCTTAAAAACTGCAACCCTGAGCACCACACCTTTCTGTTGGAGGTGGTGGTTCATGCAGTTCCTTTGCTGTCAGTCAAAAGTCAGGAGGTGGAGTTGGGTAGGACTCTGGAAACTTACCTGGAATTCCAATAAAAATGGATGGCAGAATGGGTATGCTATCCCTCTCTGTGAGAGGACCCTCTCCCCCTTGAGTGTGTGCCCCTTTTCCTCTTTTGTCTTGTAATAAACTCATGCCTGTTACTCTTAGTAATATGTTTCAAGTTCTTCTGACCTGACCCAAGAATCAGTGTTCGAAAGGGGTGGGGGGTTTCTATGCTACCTCAACTTAATGGAAGGTCTCTGCCCTGTGACAATCACAGGATTCACTTCTGTTTTATGGGAATAGAAACAAACCTGTCTGCAGCCTGGCATCAATTCCTGGCCCTAGTGACCACCTTAGAGTAACAGAAATAAGATAGACCTGCTTTTTAAAAATTTTTTTAAATATATAGGGGACCTGGCAGGTCGTGCAGAACTATTGGGGAAAACTTCCCTGAAGATCTGGAATGTGACACGGACAGACTCGGCCCTCTATCGCTGTGAGGTTGTTGCTCGGAATGACCGCAAAGAAATTGATGAAATTGCCATTGAATTAATTGTGCAAGGTAAGAGTTCATGTGAAGGTAAAGTGTTCATCTTCAGGGCTCATGAGTGTGTAGCTATAAAGTAAGTCATCAGTTCCTATTTCCATTTCTGGGGATATCACATGACTTGGGGGAGGAGAGCTTGGGAGTCTGAGACTGCCTAAGTTTAGGGGGAAGGTAAGAAGGAAGTGCAGCTGCCCCGATTCTCATCAACTGTAGGAAATGCTTTAGCATACTTTATCTCCTCCACAGCATCCTCTTGAAGATGGAAGGAATTAAAAATGCATGTGTGATTGGACTTGGGGTGGCATGAACTCTGAGGGTAGGATAGTCTCCAGACGTGATGACTGGGATTGCAGTGGTGCAGGAGCTTCTTGGCTGGCTTCCTTGTATTTGGAGCTGATTTAGGAAAATGTTGGATGTTACCATGTTGCTGAGATCATAAATACCGACCCATGTTTTTCCTGCAGTGAAGCCAGTAACCCCTATCTGCAGAGTGCCAAAGGCTGTCCCTGTAGGCAAGGCAGCAACGCTGCAGTGCCAGGAGAGCGAGGGCTATCCCCGGCCTTACTACAACTGGTATCGCAATGATGTGCCGCTGCCAACGGATTCCAGAGCCAATCCCAGATTTCGAAATTCCTCTTTTCTCTTAAACTCTGAGACAGGCACTCTGGTAAGAATCTTCTAAGAGGTGAGGATGGAGATATCTTTGTTGGGGGCAATGGATTCTTTTTGTGGAAAGAATAGTTATTAGGAGAGACAGTAAAACTATTTTGTATGACAGGAACTAAGATTCCAGGATTATTGAGATTCTACAAGAAAAATAACCCTTCATTTATAAACAAGTCCTAAGAGGGTAAAATAAGGAAGGGAAACCTGTAGATATAAAAGGGACCAAGGAAGTGATATTAGCCAAGTGTTATAGGTGGACATTATTTGAGTCCTGATTTGGACTGTACAAATCATTAGTAGATAATCAAGAAAATTTGATTACTGACTGGATATTTGATGATAATAAGCAATTGCTGATTGCTTTAGGCACGATACTGGCATTGTGATTATGGTTTTAGAAGTCTTTATTTTCTAGAGACGCATATTGAAATATTTATGGATAAAACATGTCTGGAATTTGATTCAAAATAACCCAGTGCTGGTGGTGGTGGGAAGTATATGAGGGAAGGAAACAAGATTGGTTATCAGCAAGTCACCCCAGACTTTGACAGCAAGATGGGGTTGGTTTGTGGAATACTCAACTATACATGGTAAATAGGTAGGTCTTAATAGGATCCTTAGTATTTGTTTTGACAAAGTGTTGCCTAAGGAGCAGTCCTGGTCAGAGTCCCTTCACCAAATAACAGCAAAGCACACGCAGCCTCATGTTTTAGATGTTGCTGGCTTTGGCACCTCTGGATACTAAGGGGAGCTCATCGTTGGGGAACTCTTAGGCCAGAGTGTTAGGAAAGCATGTGAGGGAGGAAGCCAGACAATGCCTGGGATGCCACAGGAAAACCAGAAGCAAATTAGCAGATTCTGACTACATTCTGGACTCAGTAGGACCTTGGCAGCTTTACCTTCCTCACTCCTATCCCTTAGAGGGTTACCCTTATGATTGGTCTCAGTATTTACCTTCATTTCTTGAAACAGGTTTTCAGCGCTGTTCATAAGGAGGACTCTGGGCAGTATTATTGCATTGCTTCCAATGATGCAGGCTCAGCCAAGTGTGAGGAACAAGAGATGGAAGTCTGTGAGTTACTTTTTGGAAAGATTTTATTTAAAGACTGGGAAGTGAATAGAATATTTAAAATTGAATATTAGATGGTCAGTTTAGACAGTGTTCTGCCATAGGTCACCTTTCTTTTGGAGCTGACGGGATTCACCAAGATCCCTGGGGGAAGTTTAAGGAACGATGAGAAAATGCTATATCTAGATAAGTAGGTCTCTAAAAGAGACCTTCTGAGGTCTCCTGATGCTGGAAACATGACCAGTCATGTAACTTTCACAGAGTGTAATTAACGCCCTTTCTCTGGTAATTGATAGAATCATCAAAATACAAGGTGGTATAAGGCTTTTGGAAAATTTTCCAGTTACAAATTATTTTTGCAGGAAACTGATTGACAGTTTTTTTTTTTTTTTTTTTTTTTGTCCAACTAATTTTACCCTGCTCTGTGATAATGCCTTCTCTAGGGTACTGGTTATAAGGGGAGGTTGTTGGAAGGAAGAGGGAGTGGATGGGGTATATCTGAACCACTTGGGGAATTTTATGACCTTTTCCCTCTTCTCTGTTTGCAACAATTGCAGAGTAGGGTTTCAAAAATTGCTTGATGATAAGAACCATTTGGACCACTGTTTAACAGAAAGATAGAAGAGCCTTCCCTAGTTATATGCTAGAAATTTGTGTGTATAATAAACAAGCATTCCAGTGATTCTTGTCTATCAAATTTGGGAAATTGCTCTAGGGCTAAGAATCCTGAGTTGATAGTTTCCTGCACATTTTTACATGCACTGTTATTTGCATAAAGGAAGCAGCCACTGTTGTTCTCAAATTACAGGTGACCAAAGTGCCTTTGCTCAGTATAGAAATGAGAAAAAGGAATGCAGGGGTTATCTTCTAAGGGGGCTTAAAAATAGGAGGCCTGCTAATGGAGTGAAAGGGCAAGTTTTCACTTAGTACTTTTTTCTTTTAAGGCTTCAAATTAATTTTCTTCCCTTAAAATAGTCTATAACAAATAAGGGTTCTGGAAATTAGGATTCTTTCCCTCTCCTTACATTCCCTGGCTCCTAATTCTAGACTTAATATAACCATTTCTTGCATTAATAGTATTCTCAGGCATTTAGCCAGAGGATTTTAAAAGATGAGCCCCTCTTAATTCAGTCTTCATTGTGACTGCATTTGAACCATTACAGTCTCAGTACTTTATACATGGTATCAGGGGTTGTGGTGTCCTGTGTGTTCTAGTCTAGAAAGATTTTAAATGTTCTCAAAATACTCTCCTGGCTAGGGTAGACATGAGAGGGCAGAAGGGTAAGTGAAGCAGTGAGTCACAGGTAGGTCAAGGTTTTTTAAGAACAGATAGTGTGTATCATCCCTCCATACAAACCTCCTTTTCTACAGATGACCTGAACATTGCTGGAATTATTGGGGGTGTTCTGGTTGTTCTTGCTGTCTTGGCCCTCATAACGTTGGGCATCTGTTGTGCATATAGACGCGGCTACTTCATCAACAATAAGCAAGATGGAGAAAGGTGAGCCTGCCTTACATGAGAAAAGCAAAGTGTAGCCTGGCATTAATATGATAAACACACCACTGAACTGCCCTCTTCTGTTCACAGTTACAAGAGCCCAGGGAAGCCTGATGGAGTTAACTATATCAGGACAGATGAGGAGGTAAGGAGGAAAGAGATTAGGTAGCATTTAGAAAAGCTGGGGGTGGGGTCGGGAGATTTATACATGGTGTCAGGGGTTGCAGTGTCCTGTGTGTTCTAGACTAGAAAGATTTTAAATGTTCTCAGTTTACCCAGTGGGAAAATGGCATTCTAGCTTGGAAATGGAGGGGCCCATGGGAATATTTCTGAGTTATATTGCAAACCCTGAGCTCTTCAACTCTGCACAGGTAACCTGTGCACAGCAGTGGCACTGACACTTTGCAGGCTCTAGTGGATGTCACTGTTTAAATGTGATCATTTCTTCTATTTTGTTTTGCCCTTGGTTTCCTCTTTGGAGACTTGTTTAGCCCCTGTGTGATTTAACCAGTTCTCTAATTCACAACCTCATGACAACTCTGGATTGCTTCTAATTTTACACTGGTTTTGCAGGGTGACTTCAGACACAAGTCATCGTTTGTGATCTGAGACCTGGCGGTGTGGCTGAGAGCATATGCAGATACCTCTACTAGAAAGAAACTCCTGTCAAGGGCAGTCATGAGCCAAGTGCACTTGGACAAAGCTAGACACTCATGCAGAAGCACAAGGTCTTCAGTTGCCATTTCCAGTAATAACTTCAGAAAAGGATTTGCATGCAGTGCCTCATTCCATGGTCCCGCAGGTCTCTTCTTAAGGCTCTGGTGATCAGTGTTGTTGTGTCCATCTTGGAGAATCTTTTTGGATCATCATTTTATAAAAACAACCAAAATCAGGAAGGTAAATGGCTTGCTGGAAGAGGGTTCTTCTTACCCAAAGAATCCTGCTAGTCCATGAAGGTATAAGGATTTAAGGAAAACTTCATCTTTGGCTAAAGTCTGAAATGGTACTGAAAGATTTTCAGTGGGTCTTGCTTATTTTATAAAATTTTACATTCTAAATTTTTCTAAAGATGTATTTTGATTATTGAAAAGAAAATTTCTATTTAAACTGTAAATATATTGTCATACAGTGTTTTAAAAACTATTTTTTTTAAGAGTTTCACTTAAGATAGAAGTTCTAAGCTACTAGTATTAAATTGGAAAGTACCAATAGTTGAGAGTATTTTACCCAATGAATCCTCTCAAGGAGACTTACTAGAACATTGCTTTGTTCATGTGCTTTAGCATTTTTCATTAGAAAACTTATGCCATGTGTACCTCAGACCATTGTTACTTAGGAAACTTTTAGAAAATTCCAGTCTAGCCCTGTTGACATCTGCTTGCATCTCTCCAAAAGAAACTTAGGGAGCTCTCAGGTTAGCTCTGAACTGCCTTTTCCTGAGATCACAACTGCCTGTGCCCGGAGACTGCCAAAGAAGCCCTTAGACACCTGTAGTGACCACGATGATACATTTTTGGAGTTAAGTCAGATACCATGACTTGTAGGTGCTGGTGAGAAGACCCACTGTGTCTTCACACCTTACCACAGCTGTGTCCCTATTAGCTTCAGTAGTGTTATTTGCTGTATAGCTCTTAGAGGTTCTAATGTGGCCACTTAGGAAACTTGGTGTCTTCTGTGTGGCATCCCAGCCTTAAGGTTCCTGAGACAGACCTTCTTTTGGTTGTAGCTGGCTCACAAATCAGCCATTGCTATTTGGTTTTTAAGTTAATTTTAATTGTGTAGTTCATAAGACTGTCTAGGCCAAAGGCCATTTTGAAACCAGATCTGTCAACTTAAGTAATATTTTTAAAAGAAAATGAATCCAGCTGTTTCTCTTTGCTATGAAGAAAGCACCCTGACACCATAGGTTCTCTCTCTCTTTCATAATAAACCATTATGTGGTGGCAGCCAGTCCAGCCTTTTGAAGACTATAAGGAAGTGCAGCCAGGTCAAAGCACGATGGTGAGGAAAGTAAAATGCCTGCCTTAATCCAAAGCAGTTTTCTAATTTTAATTTTAACTCTTTTATCTACCTGAGACACTGTTCACTTTGTGAGAGACATTAGAAACTTGGCCTAAAAGCCTTTGTTCTTCAAGAGTAGATTTTTCAGCTTCAAATACAGTGCTGTGTTGGACTCATGATGTGAAGTGGGTTGAATCAAGGAGCTTCTCAGAGGTGCGCCTAATTCCATGTGTGCCTGGAGGGTGGCTTTTTTGTAGAATGTAGTCACCTTGTAATTCAGATTTCAGTGTCTTAATTTTTTTAATACTTTTGGTTTTTTTAATTGAATACTTGAGACATGATGACTTTAATTTAAAGTTATATGAAATATTGTGTTGTGGGATATTTGGCAGGAACAGCAGGCAACTCTCCCACACTTTGTCAGTGGTACCAGTCTTGCATTTGCATCTTGAATGCTTAGAGTTGAGACTTGTTTTTTCATGTCTGCCACCTCCTGGAAGGAAGGAGGTCACTCCCCCAGTCTCTAACTGCTGAGGAATAACATGCTAGCCTTTTTGGCTGTAATAGTGATAGGGTGGCCTTATTACCTCCCTTCTTACACCCTAGAGCCTTCTGCCCTAGTGCCATAGAACTGGTTCTGATGCGTGGAACTTGGGAAACTGTTAACTATAACTGTAAAACTACATACAGAGAAGGAGCACCCATGTTTCTTTAAGATGTTCTCTGGCCTGACATGGATGTTGCTGTACATAGTTGTTACAGACTTGTACTAACACACCTATAATGTGGTATTTGTTTAAACCTCATTTATAAAAGCTTTAAAAAAAATCTCTTCATTCTTTCTTGATTGTGCTTATGTTAACGTTCATGTGTTCTCCTAGCATTTTATTAGGCAGGTACACTGAAAAGGTATTGCTGCCTGCGGGGAAGTCAGTACCTGAACTTGCCTTTACTCACAAACAGCTTTTTGAGTCACTCAACCAGTGATGAAGCTATCTTTGTCACAGATCATTTGTGGCAGAGCTGTGGGTGGAGCACAGTAACTTTCCTTCTTCCAAATCTAATACACATGCTGAAAACACAAATACTGCTGGGCGTGGTAGCACACAACTGTAATCCCAGAGGCTTGGGAGGCCGAGGCAGGAGGATCTCAAATCAAGTTCAAGACCAGTCTCACCAACTTCAGTGAGACCATCTCAAAAAAAAAAAAAAAAAATAGGGCTGGGATGTAGCTTTATGGTTAAGTGCCCCTGGATCTAATCCCTGGTACCAAACAACAAGAACAAAACCCCTACAAAGAGTAAGTTTGGGGGTGGGGATGTTGCATGGTGGTAGAGCACTTGCCTAGCATGTGTTAGATCCTAGATTGATCCCTAGCACTTAGAAAAAAAATTGATCCCTAGCACTTAGCATGAGTTATTAAAAAAAAAAATACCACTATGTTTATACTTTTGCCTTTATAATAATGGAATCAGAAAATGGAACCAGTCAGGCATGGTGACCAGCTGGTGAGGCAGGAGGATGGCTTGAGGATGGCTCAGGAGTTGGTGGGGGTTGCGGTAGAAGTGGAGCCTGGGCAACAAAATGAGACCTTGTCTCTCTCACCCACACACCAAAAAAAAAAAAAAAAGAAAAAAAAGCGAACTGAATTTCATCCTAGGCATTCTTGGACAAACATTATTTTAAGGTCGCCTGCTAGTGCCAATAAAAAGAGACTCAAGTTATACCCTCATTGTAAAGCAATCCTTAACAGAATTTCATATAAATCAGCCTCAGTGCTATTTCACGTAAGGAACATCAAGCTGTGTTTTAAAAAGTAAGACTCGTGCTAATAAGGCTGTTATTAGAAGGCAGACAGCTTCCATATGGGAACAAAGGCAGGTGGCAGATGAATCAAACCTTAAGGAAAAACATAATCATCTTTTTCTTAACAGGAAAGACTTGGTTTCATTCTTAAATACTTTATGTAAACTTAATACAACTACCAATGAAAGCCCTGTTTCTAAAAATCAAAAAATTCTACTGAATACTAGAAGACTGTATTTTTTATGCTTGACCTTTATTATACTTCATTTTAGAAAGCTGTACATTTTTAAAAATCTGCAATTATAAATAATAGAAAAAATATAACAATTGAAATTTTGACATTAGACATGGGAAAATATTTACTATAAGGAATTTAAACAAGCTAACAGCAGCTTGATTCATATAAAAAACTGAAATTTTTCAAGTTGTGTTCATTAAAGACCAGATTATAGCTTATCAGATGGATAAAATTATGATATTAAATAGCTTAACTTTAGGATAAGAAAATCTAAACCTGGCATTTCTCTTATTTCACAATTTTTTTTTAAAATGTTTTTTTAGTTGTAGATGTACACAATACCTTTATTTTATTTTTATGTGGTGCCAGGGATCGAACCCAGTGCCTCACGTATGCTACGCAAGCGTTCTACCACTGAGCCAGAACCCTAGCCCTATTTCACAATTTTTTAACCACATATATCAAAGAAAAATAACACAAGGTTGGTCAGCCAAACACAGGTGAACAAATACAGCACTGGGACAGATCCTAAGGAAAAGCTTTGGTATTACACAATGAAACATTGCCTGAGTCATACAGCAAATGATTCCTCTGCCTTTCCATGCTCAGGATTCAAGAATGTTCCCTTGGGCTCTTGAACACACTATTTCAGTTGGCTGTTTTCAGGGGGCTCTTTCGGAGGGATCTCCGACTGGGGTTTGGGTTGTCTTTATTCCTGGCTGGAGACTTCACATTCCACTGCTGAGGCTGGGGAGGTCTAGGAGAAGAAATGAGACAGTGATTCTGAAACTAAAAGAAAAACCCTGATCAAAACAGAACTCTTTGGTAAACTTACGGTTTATCAGGCAATGATAAACATAAAATGTCATTTCCTTGACTCTGGGCTTCAGTTTTCTCTGAAAGGGAGTCAAAACAGAAATTCAGTTTTCCCAGATCTTCAAAGCCAGCTAATGTATCAGACAAGAAAGAAACTGAGAACTTGCCTTTGGCTGAAAAAGAAGTCCATGGTGTCCCTATGTAACTGACCCCTGCTCCAAATGTGACATCACTGATGGATTCTGGGGAAAAGAGAAACAGCACTGTCAAACATGGGTATGAGACACAGTCACCTGAGTAAGTCAGTTAACAAGCTCTGCTCTGGTTTCTTTTACCCCAGCTAGCAGGCCTCAATCTGACCTTTCCCCAGGACTTGGCAGTGTAGAGAAACTCTTTTCTCCTGGAAGCTCTTCCTTCCTCTGACCACAGCCCTCCTCGGCTGCTCTGCAGCCTCTGTATTGTCCTTGCTCCTGTCTCTTGCTTCTCACTCAACCTTCATCTTTAAGGACTCCTAAGTGCTAAGGACCAGCAATTCCACTCAGAGCCCTTCAGGTCTGGGTTCTATACTCCCTATTGTTCCTCATCTGAGTTCCCTGAAGAGATATCTCCAGCTTTACCTCTGCTCCTGACATGCTCCTTTTGTATTTCCAGCAAATAGATAATCTGTAGAAATACCAGCCATCATTAGCTACTCTGCCACAGTGACCAGGTCCTGTGCATTCTAGTTTCCAAATATCCCTCCAAGCTGTATTCCTGCTTTGCCACAAACATTTCAATGCACCTCACCCCTCACCTTTCCTTTCATGGTGCTGCCCAATTCTGTGAGCTCAGAGCCTAGGAACACTGACTGGGTTTGCACTAACTATGGCTGTATCTTACTAAGAACTATACCAGAACCTCAATTTTCTTCATCTCTAAAATGGGAGTAAAAATGTATCTATTTTATGGGATGGAGCAAGGATTAAATGAGACCAATTATGTAAGTACTTAATACAATATTTGGTACAAGGTAATTGCTGAAGAAATGTTAGCTACTAGTATAATTTATTAGCTACTATCCCCTATGTCACTGGAGTGACATTTAATTAAAGTCCTTTAATTAAATATCTGGTAGTTACTAACCTTCTTAGGTATCTCAATGACTCTATTCCCAGGAGGGCCTAAATTCCATTCTTGGTTTGAGTTGGCCCGAGCTGCACAAACTTATATGCACATGCACACTCTGCGTATTATCTGCATTTACCCCATCTGTGCATCACTGTTCTCTGAACTGTCACACTGTGTGCACACTCCAGCTCCTTGGCCTAGCCTGCCCATCCCATCTACCCACAACATCCCCACTGTGTAGACCACTTCCAGGGGGCGGAGCACATGCTCAACTGCACATCTGATGCCCTCCTTTCTGCAAACACATTTGTGGGGCAAGCTTAGAGTTCTAACCATTCTTTACACACTGTCACTTCTGAGTACAGACTGAACTGAACTAGTCAATGTTTTCTTGTTTTTGCAGTAGTGGAGATAGAACCTAGGTCCTCACACATGGCAGGTAAACATTCTATCCCTGGGCTACATCCTCAGCCCCCTGGCCTTTTAATTTTATTTACTTATTTTTTTGAGACAAGAGTTTTGCTTTTAACGAGGCTGGCCTTGAACTTACCATCCTCCTGCTTCGCCTCCTGAGTAAATGGGATAACAGGTGTACACCACCACACCCAGCCTAGTCTGGGTCCTAAAATCCACTGCAGTGCTATGTACCTGAGTGCTACTCAGAATTCATTAATAGTGGCAGAAAATTCTATCTCCAGTGCCTCCATTAAAGTAGCTCAGCACTTTTTTCTGTTCCTGTGAATTTTCTCTTTCCAGTGTTGTCATCTGGAATTCCCCTTCCATACAGATTACTTTTCTCATTCACAAATCTCTATATTCCAGGTGATATGTTTCCTATATTTACAAAAGAATCTATGTTATGGCTCTTACATCCCCAGTGCACTCTCCTTAGAATCAAAGGCAGAAGGTTCTTTGCTGCTTGCATTATTAAAGCAGTGAGAGAGACGTACTAAAATCCCCCACAGATTTCTAGTTAAAACTCTAGCTCTGAAAATGATTCCTTTCCGTTTAGCAAAACCACTGTGTGAACACCACTGGTGGGCTACAACGGTTGAGCTGGGTAGTCATTTTCCTACTGTTTTTTTTTTTTTGTGTGTGTGTGTGCTAGGGATTGAACCCAGGGCCTTATGAATGTGAGGCAAGCACTTTAGCAACTGAGCTACATCCCCAGCCCCCTTCCTACTGGTTTTGCAGAGTAGAGATCACTTCCTAACAGTCACCCAACTAAACTTTAGAGTCACCAAAAGAATTTGTATTCCCAGACCATGCTGGAATCAGCACTGAGTGCTCTTAAGTCTCTGATAATTCTCTCAAGAAAGAGAGTTAATAGGAAACCATTCTTTAAGCATTTCGACTGTTTCACAAAAGAGATGAATAGAAGTTGCACCAACAGAAACATTACATTCTGCTGCCTGGAGAAATAGCAAGTGCTCTCCTGACCCAGTGACACCTGAGTCTTATTTCAGCGTGGAGATAAGTCTACACATGCAAATTAAAGTGGCATTAATGTACCATGCCATGTTTCACTGCTGAGGAACAAATGCTGCTAGGAAACAAAATGAAGACTGAAATCAGGGACTCATGAGATAAGCATAACTAAAATGAGATGTATTCTTCCTGTTTCTTCAGCAATATGGCACCTAACTGCCAAAATAGACACATCTGATACCCCCGAGGCAGGAAAAGAACAGAGAACATACATAAACTTTTTCTCTTTGAAAGAGGCTGGTTATTTTACATATATAACATTACACATGTGAAATATACAGGAAGCCACCCACTGACTGTCATCCAGTTGTTTGAGGAGAGATGCAAAGTGGGAATTCTGTCATCCATCAATCTCCCTTAAAAGAGGGCCCTGTGTAAAAACTGGCTATAACCCTGTAAACATTCTAAACCACAGTATCACAGGTTAATAGAATCAAAAGCAAGCAGCTAGGACACAGGAGGTATGCAGTAGAAGTGAAGTGACTACAGGTGTGACAAACAGTGGCTAATCTTGTGTAGCTCTTCTACCACAGAACATCTTAGCACTATGTTCATCTCTTAATGCCAGGATCAGAGGTTGTAAAGATGGGCTGAAGTGACACAGGGGTTGGAATCAGAAGCTTGAGCTCAGCCCCCAGTTCTGCCACTGAATAGATCTCTACAATACCTCCCATGTCCCAGGCTCTGTGGTCTGTCTTGTGGAGACAGGAATAGAAAAGCTTGCAAACAATCAGCAAGGATGGAGAGAAAATGGACAGAAGTGTGATGAGCTCGGCTGAGAGGATCAGAGGGGCACAGGAGGGTGCCTGCTCTAGCCTGAAGGTTCCAGATGAAGACATGGCATGTGAAGCCTGTACATGGCTTGTACAAGTATCCAAGGGGACTGCACATGGCTGGGGTGCATAAAGTGGGGACATGCAGAAACACATCAGGCAGCATTTGGAAAGGACAGTACATATTTTGGACAGTAACAGTTTCCTTATAATATAGGTTGAGTGTACCCAGCCGGAAAAGTGGAAATCTAGAATTTTCTAAAACCTGACATTTTTTGATGGAAAAGTAAGTAGGAAATTACATGTGTGACCTCTTAAGATGGGTCACAGGCACACTAAAAATATTATATAAAATTACTCTGAGGTTATCTATATAAAGTATATATGGGACATAAATGAATTTTCTACTTACTCTTAGGTCCCATTCCCAAGATACCTCATTATGTATACACAAATATTCCATAATCCAAAATATCTGAAATCTGAAACACTTCTTGTCCCAAAACTTTTGGATAAGAGATCCTCAACCTGCATAATCATTTTTTTTTCATAATATTGGTTTTCATGGAGTTTGAATCAATAAGAAGTTATAAAACAAAAACTGGAGGGAAAAATACTCTTCTTGCTTCTTGCCTCTATTTTGAAATGAAAAGAATGGGACAACTTCTTTTTTTTTTTTCAAAGAAAGAGCAACTAGTGGGGAATGAGAAGACAGAGGCTCTCAACATAGGTGGGATATAATCCTTAACACAACACTAGACTGCCAACCTCAGTTTGCTCCGAAATGGAGCTCTATGACATACCAGGCACCTGCCAGAGCTATCCTCTGACCTTTCCCTAGGGCAGCCCAGCTTCACACACCAAGTATACCTGTCCAGGCAGGGAGGTGGTGACAGGGCTGCCTCCACAAATGGTGCAGTCTGGGTCAGTGACCTGAACTAGCTGTGCCTCAAGCTTCACATCTGTCACACAGGATCCCTCATAGGTTGTTGTGAGATTTAACTGAGTTAACACATATACAAATATTGGGGAGAATACCTGACAATCCATCAGTCAGTGCTCACTTAAGTAAGCATATGGCACCTAAATATTGTAGTGAAATATTCAGAATGAAGCAGTCTGAATATTGCACTACAATGTGGCCAATTGTCAGGAGAGGCTTTATCCAATTACAAGAGCTATCTTTCAAAAGAAAGAATGTTAGAACAACTCGTATCAAATACATGACTGTAGGAGAGGGCAGGAGAAACCAAGCTTATTCAAACTGGCTACTTACTCTCAGGGGTGCTGATTGCTCGTTTAGTTACATGGTCAATAGCTCCATTAGATTCTCGCTCCAAGCTGCAGGAAGATGCTAGGATAAAATGGAAAAGTCTTATCTGTTTAAAAAAAAATAACAACAAAAACCCAACACAATATCATAGAACAAAACAAGCAAATGAGAAAACATAAGATATGTATAGCAAAATTAAAATCACTAATGTTTAAAGTGTTCTCATAGAGATGATTCAGAAAGAACTACAAATAAATGATACAATGAACAAAAACATGTTCATTCTTACTAGGATTCCGAGAAATGGAAATTAAAACCATACCACTTTTGGTCTATAGAGCTTAGCAAAGACAATGGAAAATTATAAAACCAGTGTTCCTAAGCAAGGAAATAGACATTCGTGCACCATATGACATGGATTATGGATGGTTTGATACTACTAAAACTTTTCAAATATTCATAGCCTTGGCTGGAATTAATCTTAAGGATTACCCACATACAAAGGTATATGTGTAAGGATACTTACTGTGACATTACTTACATCAAGAATTTGAAAAACATCTACACTTTCAAGAGGGCAGTAATAAATGTTTTGATCTTTCCAAAATATATTCATAGCCTTGGCTGGAATTAATCTTAAGGATTACCCACATACAAAGGTATATGTGTAAGGATACTTACTGTGACATTACTTACATCAAGAATTTGAAAAACATCTACACTTTCAAGAGGGCAGTAATAAATGTTTTGATCTTTCCAAAATATTGAATGCTATAAAGTTACTGGGAGAAAAGTTTTGCAAGTTCATGAAAAAAACTTTCACTATATATTATTACAAGTGTGTGCAGGGAAGCAGGTTATAAAGCAATGCATACTACGATCCCAATTTTATAAACAAAACATAGGTGTTTGTATGAGGAGTAGAAAGTCTGAAGGACCAAACACCTCTCTACTGTGGGTGAGTTTTAAATTTCACTCTATTTCCCAAACCTCTTAGCATAAATATGCTTGTTTTCTTATCTATAATCCTAAGTACCCATTTAATGTTATTTGTTTTAAAAATAAGGAAACAGAAACAATTTAAAGAGGAATGAGAAGTAGATTATTTTTAAGCCACATGCTCTAAGTTTGGCACCAACCCTAAGGCTTACCACGGCTGCACAGGTTTTCTGGGCTTCCAGAATTTAAAGTGAAAGGCAACACTCCTAGGCTCCGACTGCGATGCCTATTCTTTGATTCCACAGCTTTCTTTACAGAATTCAGAATTGCAATGGTACTCAGGGACATTGGCCTGTGGAGGACAAAATGCCACAGACGCTGACTCTCGGTGCAGACCACAGTGTAGGTGGCAGTGAAACACTGCAATCTCTGCCCACATCCTTTCAAATGCATCACTCATCCACTCTCTTTCCAGTCTCCAAGGGAGGGGTGTGGAGTAAGGTGTCAGAACAAACACAGTGACAAGACTCCCACAGCTGATGCCTTATAGGGACAGAAGAGACGCCTCTGAGAATATCATGAGACTCAGCCTGTCACTGCCTCAGTGGGCTCCCTACCTGGCTTTGGGCATTAACATCTTCAGAGGCCCGGTTTCTGGTGTGTGAGGCAAAGTCATTGTGTGGCCAGTGCTAGACCCAGGTGGTGTAGGCCTGCTTGTGGCTGGGGATACAGTGGCATTTTCTTGGCCACCAGGAACTGGCATTGTGTCTAATTCCAGAGCAACCTGTTAGAGAAGATGAATGGAATCTTTATATGTTATGAACAAGTCCATATGTAATCTATTTTAAAATATACCAGACGTGGGCAAGTACAAGTTTCTCTTCAAAACAGAGAACTATCAGCAAGCTGCCATACAGAGATGCTGTGACATTAAAGAAAAGAAAAAAAAAAAAGAAGTAAGTTTTTTGTCCTCATCACTTTTTAATGCAATATCCGCCTAGATTCCTCAGGCAGTGGGAATATTGTGCTGCTAATGCGAGCAGCAGCTAAACCCAGATGTGCCCCCCCCCCCCCCCCCCCCCCCCCCCCCCGGGACAATATGCTTTTAAAAGAGGGAACTGCAAGAAAGATTGCAACATACTAAGATTCACAGATGTCTAGGAGTCAGTAGTCACTGTAATCAAAGATCAAATAACTTTTCCAAGTTCGCCTTATGGGCTTTCACACAACTATTTCTCCCAACTATTCTTGTGGTTTCCCAGCAAGATCCTGTGATAGGCCTGTGGGAAGGGAGGCCTCAAGCCACTGGTAGATCCATCACATTTAGCAAAGGAACACAGTGGCAAGATTCAACTCTGACTGACTTCTGGATTTGGGGGAATATTGGAAAACCAACACAGAGAGCAGCCTGGATGGCTGGTCTACCTAAGGTGGGCCTCCCACCTACCTGCATGGCTTCTGCCCCATCACCACCTTCAGTCATCCTGTTCTCACTGGCCTCTTTGACCAGTTTTTGCTCCTGGACCAGCTGTTCATTATACTTCTTCATGTCATACTCAAGCTCTGATGCCAGTTGTTTGTCAACTGCAAAGAAATCCTTGATTTCATCCCGATAATCTTGCATCACCTCCTAAAATGAACCCAGAAGCATCCTTTAGTGTTTTCATGAATAAAAAAATAACCTGTCAGGGATGGGGTGGCTCAGCAGTAGAGCGCTTGCCTACCATGTGTGAGTCCTGGATTCAATCCTCAGCACCACATATAAAGAAATAAATAAAAGAAAGGTATTGTGTCCAACACTACAACTAAAAAATAAATAAATAAATATTTTTTAAAAAAGAAATAACCTCTCAGACACAACTTGATTAATAATAATTGAGACAGTAACACTTCTATTATGGCAGCAGACTGTTTCTATTATAGTAAACAACAAGTTATTTAACATAATGGAATATTCTGAGAAAATACTAACTATAATTATACTGACCACACAAGCAGGTGATCATGAAGTGATATATTAACTAGTCCTTCTGCTCTCTTAGGAATCTTCCTGTCTATCCACCAAGAACAGGCAATCACCCAGGTTCCTGATCAGAGAAAGACATGGCCAAGGCTCAGAGACCCTTGCAGTAGAATATAGGAGGCTGTGCAGCCTACAAGCTGCTCATACATCCACATTAGCTTTCCCCACTGCCACACAGGGGATTACAACTAAGGTTCAAATCCCATTTTTTCTGAAGATTTTTAACAGAAAACCCTTTATCACATCTGGGTAAAACCATTCTTGGGTCTTAATGATGGCAGCCAGAAACAAGGGCTCTTGGCTAACAGAAACTATTTCACCTAGCACTATTAGAGAAATAAAAAAAATACACTGCAGCTCTAACGAGGAGGGAAGCCTAACAAAGAGAAGGATATCCATCAACTTTTCCAGCTGCCATGAGGAGATTCCACAGATAATGATAAAGCAACCCTGCAAGGTGTCCGCTTGCAAGTGCTCAGAAATAAGAGAATGACATGATTTTCTTAAATGTTTAAGTACTATATTTAGGATGTAAGTACCTTTGCAACTCCACTCCACCCCATCAGTGAGGTTTAAAATAGGATAAAACAAAAATAATTGGAAATTCTCTCTCAATGTAATTTCATTGTATTCTTTTCAGTTTTAGGAAAAAAACATTTTATTTTATTTTGGGTACTGGGGATTGTACTTGGGGCACTCAACCACTGATTCACATCTCCAGCCCTATTTTGTATTTTATTTAGAGACAGGGTCTCACTGAGTTGCTTAGCGCTTTGCTTTTGTGGAGGCTGGCTTTGAACTTGTGATCCTCCTGCCTCAGCCTCCCGAGCTGCTGGGATAACAGGCATGCACCAGTACACCTGGCAGGAAATAAAATTGAGGAAGAAAAATACATGACGTGAACAGAATAACTCTGCTAAATCAAAAGAAAAATTGCTGCTTTTATTTTTCAGCAATTTTGTCAGTAAGGTCTGAGGCCTCATTTAGGCCAGCCTGCCCTGTTAAGTAAACATATTCTGCCTTTTCTCAGATCCAATCTTCTCCTATAGCAACTCCAGCCCAGGAATGGTGTCCATCTCAAATGATGCCCTCTACCCATCTAAGTGCATGCTGCCACAGGGCAGTGATTTCCTGGTCACATCTGTCTGCAGCAGTGTGAATGGCAAATACCCCACATTGAATACCATAACCAACTTTCATATCATCCTTCATCAGGATGAACTAAAATGATGATTCTGTCCTTGACCTCAGGAGAGAAAGTCCTGGAAATGCAATCTAATCCCATCAGGGATATATATATATATATATGCTCAGCCCAGTGAGTCAGCTGTTTACAAACTTGACTGAATGAGAAAAGGAAGAAACAACTTTAGTGGAGCCTTTGGTCAAAATTCCCCATTTACTCCACAGCAGACACTGGTCTGGCAGGCAAATTTCTAAACAGACCAAAATAAGGTTGCTTCTTTATGTAGCATTTTGTCTTAGTATTACTGCAGACAGTTACACTGGCAGAAGACATTAAGGAAAGAACTTGGAGTTAGGGGATGAAAACAACCACAAAATTAAAGTTCTTCATTTACCCTGAGATAGTTCATAAGTTCTCGCAAAGCTGGTATCTTTTTTTTCTCCAGCAGAGTTTTCAGGGAGATGATAATCGGAATAATATTTTCTATGAAATTCCTCTTTTGAACCTGCAGAAATACAAACACATGTTTTAAATGTGTAAACTTCTGAAAGTCAGATAAAAACTTTTCCTTAACCTAGTTCTTTTATTATGTTTAATCTAGTACGCTAAATATTTATTTTTGACTTCTGATTATGATACTGGGAATATATAGGACCTACAGTTTTTTTTTTTTTTTTTTTTTTCTGGACTTCTTTTAAACATTACCCCTAAATACTCAGGAGGTTTGTAAAGTAGGAGAGGTGGATAAAAACTACTCATATTTCCTAAGTGGAAAAAAAAAGTAAGAAATATGTTGTATAACTTGACAAACATTTTAACAAGTGCTAGGTACTTATGTAATACTTGATTAGTGCATCAAATATTTTGCAATAAATCTTAGAATTAAAAGTATTCATTACAGTAGTCCACATATGTAATATTTACCCTTCTAAACCTGAAAAATACTTTTTGTTTTCACATAAAGTCATTAGTATACATTTCTTGCTTGCAAATACTCAATTAAAAAAAAGTCTTATCAAAGTCCCTAAAATAGGAGGGAAATAGGTATAAATATGAACAATTTAATAATAAAAATGAATCTAATAAGATTATAAGTTTAGCAATAGTCTTCAATGTGACCTAGAGTATCATCAAGCATATTTTATGTCCCAGATACAAAGCTAACTTCTGAGGATAGAGAAATGAAGTCCAAACTTCCTGCCCTCAGGTTGTTTCTAGACCAGTGTGTGTATGTGTGTGTTGTGATAAATGGTACAAGGTGCCAAGTGCACAGTGTTAAGAAACTCATGTATGGAGAAGGATGCCTAGGAGGGAAGGGGGGTAATCATGAATGTATACTGGAGGCTTCTTTGAGAGATGACACTTAGGATGTGTGGGAATGAGAAGTGGGTGGGAGAGTGGAGTGGATTGGGTGCTGCAGACGGAAGAACCAGTGTCAAAGGCACATAGCAGGCAGTACATCTCATATCTGAGGATTGGAATGATCAGAGGCAATGAGGGAGGAAACAGTTAGGGCAGGGACAGGCATACTAAGAGTTTTGTAGTCTTAAAGGAGAATCAGGGTCTTTTTTTTTTTTATTCCGAAGATAATAGGAAGCTATCAATGTAGTTTTTAAAGATGCCATTAGTGAGATATAATGTTTATAAAATAAATTTACCTATTTTAAGAGAATAGTTCCATGAGCTTTGGGTGAAGTATATACTGAGCAACCAATACTACAATTTACTCACGATCCATTCCCCCAAAAGTTTCCTGCCACAATTCAGTCTATCTGGGTCTAGGTTATTTGAAGCAGGAGAATAAAATTATCACATTTATACTGAAAGAAAATCTGCTCTGGCAGCAAAGTTGGGCTTAGCTTATGACAGACAGAAACCAGAGACAGCCTTTGTGCTAAGAAAACTACTGGATTTGGCACAGAATTAAAAAAAAAAAAAAAAGTCAGAACCAGGGGAAATGCAAAAGAGATAGATTTGTAAGATTAAGCCAATAGGATCTCTCAGCAAGTAAGAGGTGATAAAAGTCTATTCCTTTAGGGTCAACAGCCTTTAGGAGTCAGGTGGGAAATACAAATTGGCCATCCAAGATAGGCATAAGAACTCAGGGTCTGGTAAGGACTATGGAAACTCAGCTCTTTCCCAAAGTCAGTCAAATTTCACCCTGGTCAAACAAGCACATGCCAGGCATTCCAGACTCCTGCTCTGCTTTCTGCTGTAGCATCAAGTTCCCCTTTGGATAATTTCGTAGACAATGGTTCCCTTCTCTACAACAGACTGGGAGAAGGAAGAGGCTAATATCAGGAAAAAGAAATGACTAATTGGTTTTGACAGAATAAGTTTGAGACACCTGTGGTACAACCAGATAGGTGAGAGAAATTGAACTCAGGCTCACAAGAGAAACTGGAGCTAGAAACCTGTTGAAAGATCATCAACACCTGGGCAAGAGTTAAAGCCTCTGGTAAGAATAAGAGCAGGGCCCCAGTAGAACACCACCAAGATCACTGGGGAAGCCCAGAGGTGTGAGCAGGTCTGCTGAAGGAAGAAGTGCACACACACCTGGGAGATGAGCTTTTTCTGGGCTTCCTGCATGACTACGTTTGCCAAGGCCATGTCATCTTCTTCCATAAGGAGATCCTTATCTGGTTTAGCTCTCATTGCTAAAAGCTTGATCTCCTTTGAGCTGAGGACCTCAAACGTATCTGAGAGTAACTCACTGGCTTCCATGTCCAGGGGCAGGATGCCATCTGCGAAGCATGCTAAGAAAGAGCGCAAGAAACCAGCTTCTGAGAAACATGTTAATTTACAGAACTGGGGGTTATCTGGGGCTGTGAGGGAAGTCTGCATGGAGTACAGCTGATAGGGAGTGTGAACAAAAAGATGAATCTTCCTACAGTACTAGCCCACTTGCCACAGGACTGCTATTTCATTTTCAACACAGCATTTCTTCTTTTTCTTTTGACACCCGGTCTTACTAAATTGCTTAAGACTTCACTAAGTTACTGAGGCTAACATTGAACTTGAAATCCTCCTGCCTCAGACTCCCGAGATGCTGGGATTACAGGCATGCACCACCATACCAGGCTCAGTATTTCATTTTTTAAGCATACATTTTACCCCCAAAACACCAGGCCTACCCAAAATACTAAGGCAGATTTTAGAAGTGATGTTGAATCGCTGCTCATCTGTGAAGTGCTCTAGAAGAAATTTGTAGATTTTCATTCGCCTCTCCTTGTTTGTCTTTCCTTTCAGTGAAAACAGCCGCTTCTCTCTGTGGCAGAACAGCACAATTTTAGGGCATAAAAGTGTGGGAAACAAGGATTTAAGACAGCATTTTTATAGCATCCTACAAGCTGTGTACCAAAGGCTCCAGGACAGTAATGAGAATGTCTTCACAGACATCCCCTTTGGACTCTGTTCTTACAACTGAATTTTCTTATGTCATCCTGCCAAGGAAAGTGATGTCAAAATATATGACCAGATTACGACCTGGTCCAAACTTGCATTCAAAACCGCCAAACATCTCCTGAGCCTCACCCAATTCTTACTGAGACAAGGAGAGCATCTAAGCTGCTTCACTGACCTCTCTGACTGAGGGAATTTGTTATACTTCTCGTGCTTCTCATAGTTGTTGAAGTGAAAAATACACTCAATGAAGTGCTGAAAGAACATGACAGGGTTCCTCTTCAGTAACAGGTGAGCCAGGCAAAACTCTCCAAATCTGCAAAGAAGGAAAAGACAAATGAAGGAAACCCATTTATTATTTGTAGACAGCTTCTATAACTATACTAAGAACTCATCAAAACAGAAGAATGTTAAATAAGGGTCAGGAATTCCAAATCCATCCAATAAATAGCTTCATCAGATCAAAAGTAAGGAAGAAATTTCATTTGTTTTGTCTGTCTCTTCTGAATGCTCTCTTTTGAATCCAAGATCAGTATAAAGACTTTCTCTATCAGGTTTCTTTCAAAATTCTAACAAGGCATTACTTTCCACCTATATTTTGAACAAGGAAAAACAACTAACCCAAAACTGTTTCTTCAAGCAGAGGCCAATGGTCCTCAAGGCTACTGCAGTGACAATGGTCACCTGAAAATAAATACCTGCCCTTCAGTTCCCAATTTCAAGTTTATTATTCACAATAATGACCCCCCAAAAAAGTTATAGTTTAGTAACTCTTCTAGTTAACAACAAAAGTGTCATAAATTGGGTCAGCAGGGTAAGTATTCTCACAAAACCTGACTCTTACTGAGATTTGGGATAACCACAAGCTCTGGGCACTCTCCTTTCACCCATGCTTACAAATCTGGCAGAGGCTTCCAATATTCATGTACAATGCTTCATATCTGAGAGATGCTACTGGGATTGCAGCAAAATGAAAGGCAAAATTCTGATGGTTTCCAAAGCCAAATGTAATTTCCCAAAACCCTAACTGTTCACCTAAAAGCCACCTGACCATTTCTGTCTTACTATAATGGTAGGTGAAAGAATGACAAAGCTTTGGGTGTTCTTACGGGCCAACCAGAGACTATGTAGGGCTTTCTGTGGTTTATTTACTGCTGAGACAGTGTTTTAATTTCATTCCAGAGCTCAAATGCTACACAGGAGCATTCCTTAGCTCTCCACTGGAAAGGAGCAAACAAGGACGATCCAGACAGCTTGAGCCTGACCTTGCAAAGCATTAGAACTTTGCAGGCGATTTAACCTTCCCCTAGTGGTGTTCCTTGAGCTAAGGTTCAACACACACATTAACAAGTCAGAGAAAGTGAAGGTTTAAATCAGTCTGTATCCACAACACATACATTAACAAGCCAGAGAAGGTGGTTTAGAAATTATGATGAAAGTAAACCTGACTAAAAATTCTGCTGCAGATAATCACACTTTAACTATTCACCTAGTATACAAGACATAAATATATGAAAACAAAACAACTTAAAGAAGCGACTGTATTTAATAAAAGTAATTCTCTAAAGAGAATCCAATCCACTTAAGTCCAGCTAGAAGCACCAGTTTGATCTAGGCAGTCAGAATACTCTACACAAACTATGTTGTTTAGGAACCCAGATTTGAAAGGTAAAGGTAATCTTTCTCAAAGGACAAGTTTCATATCAGCACAATTCACAATAGCCAAATTATAGAATCAACCCAGATATCTGACAATAGATGAATAGATGAAGAAAATGTGGTGTGTTTGTATGTGTGTAATAATGATTTCCTTTTACAAGGTTAGCCCCCCCACACACACACAATGGAGATTTACTCAGTAATGAAGAATGAAATAACGGCATTTGCTATGATGGATAGAAATGGAGAAAATCATGCTAAGTGAAATAAGGCAGACTCAGAAAATCAAGGGCTGTATGTTTTCTCTCATGTGGAAGCAAGAGCAAAACAAAGGAGAGAATATCAGATATTATGAAGACACCAGGAGGAAAAGAAACAGCAATTTAAGGCTGGGCCAGAGATGTGAAGGACCTACTAGCGAGAGGAGCTTGATTCTGGGTTGAGAGCCAGGAAGAAAAAGGATGGAGGAAAGAACTTGCCTCCAGTTTCCAGTAGAATTCTGGTAGAAATGGGTGGGAGCCCCAGGTTCCACCCTGAGTAGGCACATGCAGACCAGATCAGGAACAGGAGTTCAATAACAGTAGCCTTTGTTGAGCTTCAGAAGGGCATGTGATTTGGGAAGAAATGAGAAAGAAGGCCGATTTTATGTTTTCTACAAGCTGACAATAGAAGTGAATGGACTATATTTCCCCTGTAGCCTTCTTGGGCTCTTTGATCTAGGTTTCAATTCTTAGTAAGAGGATAATGATTTCTTTTTCCAAGGTGAGGCCCACATTTCCCAGCCTCCTAGTATTTTCATTCATTCATTTAATACATGTTCACTTAAGTTTTAAGCTCCCTTTCAGGGTAAGTCCTCTGTTCCTCAGGAAGCCTGTACCATAGTGGGTAAACAGATGTTATGCATGCAATCAGTACAAAGTAAGTTGGCAAAAGTACTCTCAAGAAAAAGAAAGCTGGAAGTGGGTGCAGGAAAGGGAGGGGAGTGAGGACTGGCTATTGGTTAAAACAAATGAACACACTGTTCTACCTGATCCAGCTGATAACATGCAGCCTCCCTGGTTACAGCTCCTATATCTGCCTACTCTGCTCTCTACTTCCTGGTATGTTGTTCCTAGTTTCCTTTTCCATTCCAAACCCCAAAATGAGACTCAAAATGTCTGCAATGCTCATATAAAGAAGTTCATGGGACATTCTAACTTTTCACTTTCCTGACTTCACTGTTTTCAGTGACCCCACATCTTACTCCACATCGCCATTATGCTGCCACATTCTGGACTGTGTCACTCCATGCTACCTTGCCTTTCTAGCTGTGTGATTCCCTTACCTCTTTTGACTTACTGTGCAACTTCACTAAATCCTCTAGAAAGTCAAGTACTTCATTTTTCTTCCAAACTAAGGTATCTTTTCTCTCTTTTCTTTTTCAATGGCACAATACATTAGATAATTTATTTATGTAGCCTTGAACTCTTTGCCCCCTGCCTTTCTGCACTTCTGTTTCAATTGGCCCAATAAACATTCTATTTGCTAAATGGCTATTACCCAATGGTTACTGAGCCACAAGGCCAACATCCATTGGGCAAAGAAAATGTATCACATGATTCTGCAGCTTTGAAATTTGGATTTATAAGACCAATTAAAAATGTCATATTAATTTTGCTCACACCAGAACCTTTATGAAATCAGCTGGATCAGATAAATAAATAAGGTTTGCATTGGTATGTCCATATTGAAAAATTAATATAGTTAATGTAAGTAGAAAAGTCTGGACTTTAACCTAAAAATCAGGAATGAGACTGTTTTAGTCAGCATTTTTGCTGGTATAACCAAAAGACTTAATAAGAACAATTTCAGAAATGTTATTTGGCAATCAAGGTTGCAGAGGTCTCAGTACATAGATGGTCAACTCCATTCCTAGTGGCCTGATGTAAAGCAGAACATCGGAGAGAAGTGTGTGGTAGAGGAAAGCAGCTCAGAACTTGATAATCAGGAAGCAGAGAGAGCATTTTTCACAAGAGACAAAATATATACTCCAAAGGCATGCCTCCAGTGACCCACATCCTCCAGCCATACTTTACCTGCCTGTAGTTACCACCTAGTTAATCCTTATTAGTAGATTAACACATGATAGACCCAACCTGATCTTTTCTTAAAATTGGGAGCCATCT